TATGCCTGGCCCACATTCCCACAGGGCCCCAGGCGCCTGGATTGGAGATGTAATTTCCACTTTCATTATTTGAGTGTGCTCCTGAGATGGGAAAGGCACACAGTAGGCCCACAGCAAATATGAGCTCCTCTCTTTTTGGTCCTCATCTCTCATATTCCCTCCCTACCCAAGTCTCTTGCCTACCCTGTCCCCACCTGCCTGGCTTCCTCCCTCTAGTCCTGGCCCCTGCCTTTCCACTCTCCCCTGGCTTCTTAAAACTTCTCTTCACCCCATGGCCCCTTTTGTTTTAACAGAACACCCGTGCAGTCCCTGTCCAGCCTGCTTTCTCCGTGATGCAATTCTCCCAGCCTGCTCGTTTCGCACCCAAGCCCAAGGGGCGCAAACCAAAAGTGAGTTAACCGTGGAGACCCTGAGAGGCTGAGCAGGAAGGACAGGGGTCTGAGAGAGAAGCTATTTCAGCGAGGAGGCAGCAGGGCCTACAGGCCCCATCATGCCCACCCAAGGTTCCCTAACTCCATCTACCAGGCACCCAGGCCCCGGACCTGGGAGGCGTCCTTGGTCCTTCCCTCCCTCCCTATTGTCCCTCCAGGGCACCAACGCCTCTCCTTCCTGAAGCCACTGCCTTGGTTCAGGCCACCTGACCCCTCATCCCTCACCCCCTCACACGGACCCACTGCCACAGTGACCTTCCCATAAGCAAATGTGATCTCATCCTCTCCCTCAAAAACCCTAAAGGCCCCGGGCTCAATAGAGTTCCAGTCCCGCAGCTGGATGTGCAGAATCCTCCGCAGTCTTGCCCAGCCCACCTGCCGGCCTCCCTCCTCACCCACCAAGACCCTCCATCAGCCTCCACTGCTCACTCCAGGCTCCTTCCGGCCACCACGCTTTTGCATCTGCTGTCCTGGGGCCGAAAGGACCCTTTGCCACCTCACCCAGCCCTTCAATGCTCTGCTTCAACGTGGCTCCCTGCCTGGCAGGTTGCTGGATGCCCCAGCCCCTCCCTGACCTGATGGACTTTTAACAGCTCTGTGCACGCCAGGCACCATGTCCTGTTGTAACTGTATTTACATGACATTTCATAACTCTATGCATGCCAGGCACCATTTCCTATTGTAACTGTATTTACATGTCTGTCTCCGTCACTCCACCTGTCCTTGCCGGAGCCCATGAACTTGGGATTGTGACTTGTCCCTCTGTGTATCCCCAGCACTTTGCACAGTGCCTGGAGTGCAGTAGGGACTGGGTCAATGAATGAGGGATGTGGTTTGCACAGTCAGTAGAAGGGGAGACCAGTCAGGGCAAGAAGACCAGTCTGCTGGGTGGGGAGGGGCCTGGCCCTTCCTTGGCCACTTGAGCAGTGGTGGCAAGGCCAAGGGCGTCTCCCTACCCAGCTTCCTGTGGCCCATCACGGTGCATGGTGGGCCCCTGCCACCTACCACACTGACTTTAGGATGGAGGAGCTCCAGGGGGCCTTTGCTGGGCAGCCCGACTTTGGCCCTGGCCTTGGGAGGACAGGGTATGCTGATACAACCAGACACAACTGGGTACCATTTTGTATTTGATCCCTTACTACGTGGACAGGCTTGGGCAAAGTGCTTAACCTCTCTGAGCCTGTTCTTTCACTGAGAAAAACTGAAGCTAAGGATGCCTCCCTCATAAAGCACTGAAGCCAGAGCTTGGCACACAGTAGGCCTCACTAAATACTAGTTTTCACCGCCCTGGTGAAATCGGACACGGCAAGTAATGGCTTTGCCTCTGGGAGCTGAGGTGAGCTGTATGTTCTATGTCAGACTCATCCTTCTCGCTCTCTAGAGGAGCCGGCGGGATGTCCCCTCTCCTCCACCCGCCCCCTCCCTGTTCTTAACCATAGTTACCTGGGATGGTGGGTGAGCATCTGGGCACCACAGGCTCAGGGAGGCTTGCTTGGGAGCAGGAAGGAAGAAAGCGTGAGTCTGGGGGGCATTTCTTACCACCGTTTTGGCTGTCATCTCCCCGTCAAGTGGCACCAATATTAACCAGCATTTTTATTTTTCATTTCCTTCAGCCTCCAAGTTACTGGCAGGCCACCGCAGCTCCCATTGTAAGTCTCTTGCTCTCTCTTTGGAAGCTCTTCACTGTGGTTCTTCCTGTGGGTTAAAAGGAGGAGGCAGGGCCAGGCATCAGGCCTCTGCCACAGGGCGACTGGCGCAGCTGAGGCCAGACCCCTGGGCCACCCTCCTGACGGTGGTTGTGGGGGAGTGTTTGGGGGAGTAGGGGTGGTTGGCTGGGCTGATGAATTGGGAAACAAGCTGAATTGTCCAAGCTCCTGCCATTCTGTGGACACAACTGCCCACAATTATTTCCTCCTTCAAAGTGAAACTACGCTAGAGAAATTCCCCTGAGAAGGAAGATGGGCCAAAGGCCACAAATGAAGCCACATTTCTCTCCAGAGGGGACTTTTGCCCCTACCTCACCCCCTTAAGAGGAGAAACACCTTTACCTTGCAATTTTCAGAGTCTGGTCTGGGCTACTGAGAGGGTTCCCCACTCGGCTGCTGGGAGGGTGTGTGTTAAGTGGTGCCCTCTGGTGGCAGATGGCAGTCTTCATGCTGGTGAGAGCAGGTTAAAAACCCCATTTCTTTCTTCCAGACGCAAACAGTCATCCACACAGTGCAGAGCACCCCTGGACAGATGTTCCCTGTAAGTCTGCCAGCTCCAGTCAGTGCACAGCCCCACTCCCTCCTGCTGGTACAAGTCAGCCGGGAGCCCTGGAGTTCGTGGAGCTGCCTGTGGAGGGGCTGAGGGCCGGTGGCCACGATGGGGTCTGGGACGATGGCAGGACGTTGCACCAAGGCTGACAGGAGAGGGAAGGCGAATGGGTGAATCCAGGGGCAGAAGCCTCACATTGGAGCATCCCCTCCAGAGTGCGCGGGGGCCTGGGTGTGGGCACAATCCCACATAGAATTCCTGGTCTCTTTTCAACAGAATCCTGCAATTCCCCCGACGGCTTACCCCAGCCCCAGCTACGTAAGTGATTTCTCAGGGAGGGCGCCGTTCTGTTTGTGCAGGGCCGCGGGGAAGGTGAGGGGCAGCTCACAAAGTGAAAAGCAGCCCTTCGCTGAGCTGACGTTCTTCAAACATCCCGGGAAATTAGAAGACGGTTGAAAGGAGCTTTCACCTTCAAAAGGGCCCCTTCCTCACAAGCATGTTATATGGCCTTCTCTTCTCAGCCCAAGTATCCTTTTGTGTCCAGCAAAGTTCTTTTTGTGGCAGTTTATTTATTTACTTAATTTTAATCCTCACCCGAGGATATTTTTCCACTGATTTTTAGAGAGTGGAAGAGAGAGGGAAAGACAGAGAGAAATATCGATATGAGAGAAACATCGATTGGTTGCCTCCTGCACGTGCCCTGACCAGGGCCCAAGCTGGGGAGGAGCCTGGAACCAAGGTACATGCCCTTGACTGGAATCAAACCTGGGACCCTTCAGTCCGCAGGCCGATGCTCTATCCACTGAGCCAAACCGGCTAGGACTTTTCGTGGCCGTTTAAGCTCATAAATTTGAGGAACACTGGAAAGTTTTCCTTATTTGCTAACCAAGTAAAGCTATCACAATTCTTTTTGTTGTTGTTGTTAAATTTATTTATTTTTTTAAAATATATTTTTATTGATTTCAGAGGGAGGAAGGGAGAGGGAGAGAGAGTTAGAAACATCCATGGTGAGAGAGAATCATTGATCGGCTGCCTCCTGCACGCCCTCTATTGTGGATCGAGCCTGCAACCCGGGCATATGCCCTTGACCGGAATCAGACCTGGGACCCTTCAGTCCACAGGCCGAGGCTCTATCCACTGAGCCAAACCAGCTAGGGCTATCGCAATTCTTTCTTGAAAATATATGACGCACAGACACAGTTGTCAAACTCGGGTGACAGTCCAAATTCATGGACATTGGCAGAGAGCTCCCCCGACAGCGGTCACCTCTCTGGCTGCCACTGGCTGACCTGCCCCTCTCCTCCCGACAGCCAATACCATTCTTCACCAGCATCCCTGGGGGGCTGTACCCCTCCAAGCGCATCGCCATTACGGGCATCGTCCTGCCCTACGCTCAGAGGTAAGCCTGGGCTCTCAGGGAGGAGAGATACCCCAAGGTCACTCTGGCCCTCCCCACCCCCACCCATCCCCAGCTCTGGGCAGAGATCCATGTGAGCTGCCCACCTCCAGGTTCCACATCAACCTGCGCTCCGGGAATGACATCGCCTTCCACCTGAACCCCCGTTTCGATGAGAACGCCGTGGTCCGCAATACGCAGATCAGTAACTCTTGGGGGCCTGAGGAGCGCGGCCTGAATCGGAGTATGCCCTTCGTCCGAGGCCAGGGCTTCTTGGTAAGGTGCCCAGCCTGGAGCTCCAGGGGGCTCCGAAGGGGCAAATGAAGGAGGGGGTGGCGATGGAGGGTGTCTGGGGGCCTCTTGAACAAGAGGGCCTCTTGGGTGAGGGTTGGGCCCCACAAATGGTTGTTATTATGGTTTTACTATTGCCGCCCCATATAAGATAGGGGGCGGAATCTGCTGTTGACAGAGGGAAAGACTCTCACGTGTAGGTTCTTTGCCTGGGGTCACACAGCCAATAAGTGCCAGACGGAACCCAAGAGTGAGGTCATTTATTCACTCACTCACTCACTCAGTCATTCAACAATTATTTGTCAGCTCTGTCATCCAGGCCCACTTGGGGCAGGAAGGAGCCCGAGTGTTGGAGGGTAGCAGTGAAGCAGACAGACCAGGTCCTGCCTGGAAGTTTGCAGTTTTGGTGGGGGGGCCATTGCAGATCACAGCAGGTGCTGTGCCCAAGCAACAGAGAATAAAGGGGTCCAGTGAGGCCTGGCCAGGGACCCCGCTGCCATAGACGGGGACAGCTCTCAGAGGCCACCGTGCACCAGAGACCTCAGTGATAGAAGGAGTTCACCCCACAAAGATCTGAGGTGCCCAGCAGGCTGCAGAGGGAGCAGTGTTATTGCCAAAGGGAGAGTCCTGGGCGTGGCCTGTCCAGGAACTGAGAGGGTGGGGAGGCCTGAGGCCAGGATCACAGAGCAGGCGTTCTCAGCCCCGGTTACACATCACCTGGAGAGCTTAAAAAGGAAAAATCAATGCCTGGCCCTGCCCAGGCCAGCGAGAGGGTGAACCTGGGCATCCGTATTTTAAAACGGGCCCAACACTCCTCACCCGGGGTTGAAAATGACCAATGTAGGGCCTTGAGGGCCATGGGGAGGAGCTTGGGTTTCAATACAGTGCGTTGGTGTGTTTGGAGCCAGAGAGCAACTTACTTTGGCGTATAGGCAGCGGTGTGACTTTTGAGCAAGTGACTCCCGGGCTCTGGGCCTCAGTTTCCTTATCTCAGAAATGGGGCTAATGGCAATATTGATCTCATAGAGAAGTGAGTGAAATGACATTGTGTGAAGGGTGCTGCGAGTGTTAGGCATGGTGATGGGGATGAGGACGTCTTACAGGGGTGCTCTGGCTGCCTTGTGAGAGAATGTTAGGAGGTGGCCGCTGCAGAAGTGTAGGCGGGGAGCACTCCGGTGTGCCGGGTATGGGAACATGGGGGGCACAAGCCTGAATTCCTGCCCCTAGAGCAGCGGTTTTCAACCTGTGGGTCGCGGCCCCTTTGGGGGTCAAACGACCCTTTCACAGGGATCGCCTAAGACCATCGGAAAACACATATATAATTACATATTGTTTTTGTGATTAATCACGATGCTTTAATTATGTTCAATTTGTAACAATGAAAATACATCCTGCATGTCAGATATTTGCATTATGATTCATAACAGTAGCAAAATTATAGTTATGAAGTAGCAACGAAAATAATGTTATGGTTGGGGGTCACCACAACATGAGGAACTGTATTAAAGGGTCGCGGCATTAGGAAGGTTGAGAACCACTGGCCTAGAGGCTTAGGGCCCAGTTGGAGAGTGAGGACAGGAGAGGGAGACATGACCTGAGGGGAAACCTGACTTGACTAGGAAGGGGTCGGGAGGTCGCCAAAGGCAGGGAAGGCTTGCCAGAAGGGGGTGAATCCCAAAGGGAGCTTAGCAGCTATCCATGTGGGCAAGGTGTGCGGACTGCAGAGCCTGGGGGAAGGGCACTCTCTGCCCGGGGAACAGAATATGGAGAAGGACAGGGAGAAGCACATGCTGATGAAGAGCGAATCCTTCAGGGTGACGGCAGTGCGGGCCTGGGGCGGGCTCAATGAATGCTTGAGGGAGGCAGGAAGGAGGTGGTGGACACCAGCCTGCATTCAGGTGTGAGGACTTCCCAAGTGCAGCGCAAATGACACGGCCCGTCTGTCCAGGTGTGGATCATGTGTGAAGGTCACTGCCTCAAGGTGTCTGTGGACGGTCAGCACCTGTTCGACTACTACCACCGCCTGACGAACCTGCCCGCCATCAACAACCTGGAGGTGGGAGGCGATGTCCAGCTGACCCTGGTGCAGCCATAGGCGGGATTCCAGCCCTGGGACCTCGGGCTGGAGCACACTGCTGTCTGCATCTGCTCTTCACCTCCGCCTTCCCTGTCCCTGCCGCAGCCCCCGCCCTCCCGGCCCTTCCTGGATCTGGGGCTTCTCTGGAGAAACCAGGCCCTTGTCTGCCCTGCTTCTGGCTGCAGCCATCCTGGAGTGGAGAAGGCCGCTGGCGGGGCATAGCTTCCTCTGTCTGGGCAGCACCTGGGGCTCCAGCTGCCCAAATTCTAACATCTGAGGATGGGGGGTGGAGGGGTCAGTGCAGGCTGAAGCCCATGTTCAGTCCCCTCAGCAGAAAGGGAGCATCCTGGGCCTTCCCAACTCCCACCCAGGCCCACCCCTCATGTACCTCTTGACCCCATCCCCACCCTCCATTCTAGTCCACCTCAGGCTCCAGCCACCAGCTGGTCACTCCCATGGGAGGTGGTCTCCTCAGCCCCTCCTCTTTCTCCAACCTTTACCCTTTCCTTGCACCCTGTACCAACCCTTCCCCTGACTGACACCTGCTGGTCTCCACCACCTGCCAGCACCTTGTCCAGCTGGACACCCCCCTTTCCCAGTGCCCTTCAAATAAAGAGAAAAGAAAACTCGAGGTGGGCACATATGCACAGCGTGATTGTGGTTTATTCAGTGTGTTTGGAGACATGCTGGTGTTGGATCAGGGTGGTTCTGGCCAAGGAGAGAGCATGACTCACTTTGACGAGGGTGGGGGACCTGATTCATTTCTGCTCTCAGTGGGTCCCCCCAAATCCCACAAGGCTTAGGAGAAAGCAGCTGACCTAGTGCGTGTCCCACAGGAAGCTCCCGGAAATGTGATATATACACGTGTGGTGAATGCTACATTCTCCACGTTTAGAAGCAGCGTCACCCTGCACAGGAGCCTGTTAGAGGCTCTGAACGTCTTATGGTAAAGCAGCGTGTCAGCCTTTGTTTACTGAGCAACCAGACTGGGCTGCACCGCCAAGC